AAAAGATATTGCATGTAGATATTGTAAGGACCCGGTTCGACCATGGTGGGAAAAATCAAATTGCACACCGAATAGGGAGAAAGCAATTCTAGGCCATATATGTAAGACTAAAATTAACTCAGAAAAGGCGTCTTTTGACATAACAACAACGCTTAACATTAGAAAGCACTAAACATACTCAGGTGAGTGCACTACTAGGATGAGCAACTTCCTAAGAAAGTACCTACCTATATGACAAAGCCGTAATGCTTGGTATAGGACAAGTCAAAGTGAATAATAACTTAAGTGAATTAATTTAGAATATTCACAAGGCATGTAAAGTCGGAAACTCCACACATTAGTTAGTATTTGTCCTCATTATGAATTAATTATCTCGATGGTTGTTGCTGATTTCGAGTAAATTAACGAGATTTAAAATTTGAGAAAAAGCACAACTGACCGTGACAATTGTGGCTAGCACGTGTCGCCCCCAGGGTTTACTCCCCGGCTGTCGGCCGTGCGGGGGTTCCCTGGGTTACCAAAAAAAAAAAAAAAAAAAAAAGACCGTGACAATGAATGTGTCCCGGGCGATTGGGTTAGAGTCTTTAGTCTTTGTCTATACCATTATTGTATGCTTCGATTTCTTTACAGACACAGTCCTTAAACAATTCATTTTGTCATTATATTCTTGGCTCTATTTTTTTTTGGCCAAAAAATGTAATGTCATCCACCAATCAAAAAGTTGATTTCGTTCAATTAGGAGACGATAGCATGTCACGTTCACACACATTAACAATCTCCTGTTGTCGCTATCTGTTGGCGAAGCACACTTTGTCCGAGAATCCGTCGTTATCCGACAAAGCACATACGATTCAAAGAGGTAGTTGTAGCTTAAACATGTGCTTGACTGCTATGACGAGCTGACACAGCCCTAGAGAAAGCCCAAACTCATCTTTAGTAAACTCCATAGTATTCATCCACACGATCAATCTCGAGCTAAACCGAAGCCAAATCAAGAAGATTTCTATCACAATCTCGCATTGTAATCTAAGTTGTTTGAGTTGTTTTCAGATTTTCTATATTAAAAAAACATGAGACTATTATATATATGCACATTTATCAATGAAACAATATCAATGGGAAAATTTGCAAATACTCTTCTATTATCATTTGTCTTTATGTTATTGGAGCCGTGAAAATGTATCAGGTTTGTAAGTTTACATGGTTTATTGATGATACGAGCATTAGTACCTGTGTCTAGATGTCATTCATCATCACGCAAATCAGAAATGTATAATACATTCAGAGCATGAGGAATGTCATCACTCTGATAATTCTTGTCAAATCTCCCAATCACATTCTCCAGATCTTCGTAATTCCCCCATTTCGTGTTTTGATACGTCTTTCCTATTTATCATTATGTATTTTGAGTTCATGATCACTACATATTTCACAATTAATGTCTTTAAAAAGACAAAGCATCTAAAAAATCTCCCATATCTAATTGACACGTGATTACGAGGACGATGAATAGTTTGGACTTAAACATTAATAATTAAAAATATATATATTGATGGATAATCTAAACAAAAGAAACCGGCTCGATTTACTATATCATTATATGCAAATGATCCCGTATTTATGTCGCTAATAAATAAGGTTTTACCTCTCGTTTTATATGATATATTAAGAGATATTACGATTTGATGAGTTGGAATTCATTTATTTGTAAGGAATCTTCTCAAAGAAAAGAAAAGGAATAAAACAACATATTGCGATACGAATAATGGCCAGGGAATATTTGAAGCAGAAGATAGATGTGACAATTTTTTTACGTAGATGCTGATGCGCACCAAATCCAATCATTTCTCACTTTTCCATCCGCCACAGAAATAAATAAGAAATCAACAATAATTTCAATAAAGATAAAAATAAAATGAAACCATCTCTCTCGGAAAAAATATCAGAAAAGTCCTAAACCTTTTAACATAGTGACAATTCAGCCATTCCGGTTAATTTTGACAGGATTTTGCTGTCGTGAATGCCGATCGGCCTACATGGCATCGTCGATGCTGACGTGGACAATTTTTAATAGTATTTCAATATTTTTTGATTTTTTTAATTATTTTTTCTGATTTTTCTTTCTTTCTTCCTCCCTTCCTCTTAGCCGATGACTGGCCACAGGCGATGGCTGGCCACCGGCTAGGCGAGGCCCATCTTGGCCTGGGTGAGGGTCGGCCTCGCCGGGGCTCGCCCTTGCCCAGGTCAGGGTCAGCCTCACCCATATCTAGCGAGGCTGAACCTCACCAGGGCTTGCCTGCCCTCGACCAGGCCAGGGTCGACCGGGCCTCACCTATGGCAGGCACGGCGGCTTAGTCCGGGCGACGGCGGCCTCGCCCAGGCGAGGTCAGGCGGCCGGTCATGGCCGGTGTCCGGTCACCAGCCAAAGGTAGAAGAAGAAGAAAAAGAAGAAAAAAAATTAGAAAAAATATTTAAAAATAAAAATATATATATTATTTAAAATTGTCTGCGTCAGCGCCGGCGGTGCCATGTAGGCCGATCGGCGTCCATATCAGTAAAATCCGGCTAAAATTAGCCGGAAGGACTAAATTGGCACAAAGACAAAAAGTTTAAAACTCAATTCGTATAAAAAAAGGGTTTATGACTGAATTGGCACCAATGTAATAGATTTATGATTTTTCTTACACTTTTCCTCATCTCTCTCTGCGAATTCTCATTTCATGGTTGTTGCAGCTAGAAATTCAATACAAGTGCGTGAAGAAAAATTTAGTCGGATGAATTTAATGCTAGTCGCATCAGATATAAAAATCCGTCATTAAAATAATTCAGCCCAAAAAAAATGATTTTTTTTAGTGATTTAATTTTAGTTGAGGAAGCTTCCATTTATTTTCAAGGGGTTGCATGTGTCTTGTATGGTTGGATGGAGCCAAATGTCATGAGCAAAAATTGACAGGGCACAACAACCGGTGTCTAAATTAGTAGGCTATAATTACTAAAGTCATTGCTAAGAAGTGTGAAACCTGAGACCATATTAAAATTTAAACCGGCCAAATTCCAAAGCCGTAAGACCAAAAAAAAAAAATTCCAAATCCGAGGTATTCAAAGTTTCATTTTGATGTACATGGGCCGTCTCCACGATCAGGAGAAGTCTTGGTCATTTGTTGTTTCTATGATGTCTCATCTTTAGTCCACAGTGAAAGAAGCGTCGACTGCGCAATTTTGCTGTCTTTGATTGACCAACAAATCTTCAACTAAAAGAGAAATGATCCTGAAAATAGGTAGTGGCTGTCCTTAATAAGCCAAAAATTCATAGGGACAACGACTCACTATCATCGCGAATACAAAAGCCCAAGGAGATTGAGATGTGCCATGTCACAAGTTAATCCCGATAGGCTTTTTAATTCATTCAGCTGAGCAAGACAACAGAACAAGCCCAAATGGAGCTCGAACATTACCTTTGCATTAAGTATCAACCATGTCAAAAGGGTAGATAGGTCTTTAGACATGGACAAGAATAAGTAATCATATAGTATGTTGGGAATCGAGGATTCAATTCATTTGTTGTCCAGCCCTAATCCCATTAAGGGTATAAAAAAAGGGGGGGGGGGGGGGTCTTAATTACATTTACCCACATTTTTGAATGGTCCCATTCAATATACTTTTTTAAAAATAAGAAAATACCATTTGCGTATTGAATTCTAAAAAATGATCGAGCTAAAAGATATTGCGTGTAGATTGGTTTGTATTTGTACTCATTATGAATCAATTATCTCGATGGTGGTTGTTGGTTTCGAGTAAATTAACAAGGTTTGGAATTTGAGAAAAAGCACAACTAGCCAAAACAATGCATGCGTCCCGTGATCCAAGATTCGGGCTTAAAGTCTTTAGTCTTTGTATATACTATTATTTTCTGCTTCCATTTCTTTACAAACACGGTTTGCGTGCACCTCGACTATTCCTCGGGGGAGACTAGCACAGCAACCCACCGCCATGGCCCCCCACTTAAATCACAAATGCTCAACTGGGAGTCGAACCTGGGACCAGTGCGCCTAACCATACAATCCCAAGTACGTCCCAACCAACTGAGCTATCCATAGGCTCTAAATTCATTTTTTCTATCAAAACATGTAATGTAATTCACCAATCAAAAACTTCATTTCGTTCAATTAAGAGGACCGAAAAGTAGGACCCTTTTTTGTAAATATTTCTCTAAGAGCACAAATTATTGAATTGCGAGCCAACTAATTGATTCGATTGCTCACTTTCACTATGAAATCCCGCGTTGAAATTTGACGATGTAATCGCCTTTTCACTTTTCATTATTATCCTCGGGAGACTAATTGGGATTGACAGCTCAAAGAGAGTTAAAAGACTTGAAGAGGACAATATCTTCCATGGACAAAGCTTTCAAAATTCCTCTCATAAGAGATGCAATCAACAACCCCCTTATTGGGTTTATGCTTGTCCGGTCTCTTTTATCTCTTATCAAAATGGAATATGACGTAATAAATGCACATGAGCTGATCCAATTTACAACCAACCTTGTACCTCACATTAATTCAAGCAAAAAGGAGTCATATTTATTGGACCAATACGTTCGGGACACTGTCGTCTCCCACAAAATGAATTATCGTGAACAGTTAAATTCAATCCAACAATAATTAAACCAACTCAAATTATATCTATCTTGAGCTCCATTTCATTTGCAAATAGTTGGTTCATGATTCTTTTATCTTTTCGGCTTTTGTATCGATATTGTCTTCTGATTAATAAGTTAGAAACCATATAAATATATATATTTACGCAATCTATTGTAACCGAAATTATGTAGACAAGAACGATGATATTTAAACTAAGTGAAAACATGGCATTTAGCTCCATTTTAGATTTGTAAAATAAATGGAACATTCGAGAGTTTGTCATACTGAACCTCTCACTTCAGGTCTCTTGAAGGTTTGGCTCCAAATATTTATGCTTTGGCTTGCATTTTAATTGAAAACATGGTATTAGTAAGGTATATGTAGACTCAGAGTATACCTATTTAAGGCATACCTTCTTGTGACAAGTTATTTAAATGTTAAGATGAATTTTTCGGAAGAATTTGGGAGATTTAATACTAAATAGTAATTATTTCTAATTTAAAGTGACTTTCAATAAGATTAAGTTGTCCAAGATAATACTACATTTATTTTTTTGAGGAAAAAAAAAGACTGATAGAGTTTTACACGACTTTTTAAGACTTTTTTTACAAATAGTAAAAAGATAGCATTTAGTTTATTTTGGCTCTATGAAACAAATGAATCATCCGAGATTTGATCGCACTGAGTCTCAAACTTCTAGTCTTTCTCTTTCGGTTTGCTCGCATTAGAAAGAAAATAGTGAACCACTGCATTGTTTTCCTCGTGCAGTTGACTCATTTAATGGCTACATGTTTCAAAAAAAAAAACAAAATGAATATCTTGTGCGATCATCATTTAATTTGCCATATACTAATATCATTAATCGATTTCATGAACAAACCATTTTTCCTACGTTACCTTTCCCATCAAGTCATTGTTTATAGATGAGAAGACGAGTTTAACATCATAGCCTCAATTTTACTACTGATCTCTTCTCAACAATGAATACCATGAACATCGTCAGAAACCGTTGCAACAATGAAGGATAGACTTAGGGTGCGCATGAATACCATTCTGTGCTTGGAAACTATTTCTGAACAGAAATGATTTTTTTTTTATTCTGTGCCGGAAATAATTTCTGAGTATTTGAAGGCATTTGATAAACTGTCCAAAATTTCTATTCCTAGAGTAGAAAAGAATAGAAATGCTTTTTGTAACTATACAAAATTTCTTTTTATTAATAATATTTTAATAATATTTTGAATTGTTTAATTTTTTTTTTCTTTCTACCCATTTTCTTCTTTGGCCATGGCCGGTTGCCGGCGACTGGCCACAGCCTAGGGCTGGCGAGGGCGTCAAGGCCCTCGCCGGCCGCCGGCGGAGGCGAGGGTCCTCCTTGCCGGCGAGGGCGAGGGCTGGACCCTCGTCGCCTGAGCGAGGCGGCTCGCCGTCGGTCATGGCGAGTTCGGCCTCGCCCAGATTGGGTGAGGCCGAGCCTCACCGTGGGTTGGGACGGCGAGGCTAGCCTCGCCAAATCTGGGCGAGGCTTAGCCTCGCCATGGGTCAGGCACCGATTTCTCGATGCATGTAAACCCTCTTGATGGATTGTTGAGAGGATAGTTTTCTTGTAACCGAAGTTTTATCAGTGAGGAGGGACAAAATTCAAATCAAGCAACAAAAAAAAAAAAAACAGGTCATTTAGCTCCATTTCAGTTCTGTGGAACAAATGGAACACCCGAGGTTTCGTCATTCTGAGCCTCTCGCTTCAGGTCTTTCTAGTTCTATTTGCACCCCTTAGAAAGAAAACACCAAACCGTCCCTTCATTTTCTCCTTGTGGTTGGCCTATTTGATGGCTGACTGGGTAGCTGCATTCACGATCGGGCTCATTTCTCACAATCAAGGCAATTCATCCACTCGTTCAACGGAAGTAGACGGAGCACTTCAGGCATTTTGGGCTTCATTCCTCTTGTTACATCTTGGCGGTCCGGACACCATCACTGCCTTCTCTTTGGAGGACAGTTTGCTTTGGCGTCGCCACCTCCTCAATCTCGTCTTCCAAGTTGGTGCTGCCATCTATGTTTTTGTGTAGTTATTTCCCAGCGAATGTTGGTGTTTTTTTCTAGCCGTCATAAAAAATGCTGAGAGGATACTGGTGCTTATTCTCTCAATCCTCCTGAGGCTCAGGGTATCGATGCTATCACCGCACAGATTGGTTGGAGAACTCGATGAAAGATGGGATAGAGGAGATAAATTTTTTGAAGAAGAACTCAATGTTCTAGGAAGTGGATATTCTGATACAGAATCAAAGCTAGCTGAGAGCATTGTAGTGAAGCATGCTTATTACTTTTTTCAAATCTTTAAGATCTTCCTTGGAGATTTTATATTCATGCGTCAAAATCGCAAAATAAGCCATGAATATTTTCACAAAGTTTCTGCGATGGATGGGTTGAGAGTGATATCAGTTGAGCTCAATTTCATTTATGAGGTGCTCCATACAAAAGCATTGGCAATACGTTCCAAGCAGAGCTACCTTTACCGCTTCGTAGCTTTAAGTAACGTTGTGATAGCTTTTGCAATGTTCAATCTCTTGAAGAAGCATCAAATTTCCATACTCGATATGAAAATTACATATATGCTTCTTTTCGGAGGGATTACTCTTGATATGATAGCTCTATTCATGCTCGTTTTCTTAGATTGGACTATTGCCAAAATCAAGTGCTATAGCACAGGATCATCCAAACTAGATTCACTTCTCTGCAATTTGGTAGCTGCCATGGATGACTTGAAAAAGCCTCGATTCGCCACATGTAAGGTAGAGGCTAACGCCGATGTTACTTACACGGTCTTATATACACCATTAATATTTCGAAGGTGGTCAGAATCCATCTTTGCTTGCAATTTTTTCTCCGAGTTCTTGAAGGGGAGTCCAAGAAAGATGTATACGTGCAATCGAGGCTGGGGCATCATCCCTTTTTCTAATATCTGCAGTTTTCCATTCCGCATGACTAAGAAGATCATCTCTTATTTCCATCAAGCTAGTGAGACAATTGCCAAAGCTTGGGGTGCAGGGTTTTGTAACTATTGGGGAATATCAATGATTCCAAATACGAAGTACGTGTCCAAGAATCCCTTTATTAAGAAGCTATGGATCTTTATCTTTAGGGAGGTGAGATGTAAATCTGAGAATGCAGATGATTTGGCAGAGGTGATGGAGATATTTGAGGCTAGAGGTGATCTGTTTCTCTAGTGTATATTGGAGGAGATCAATTGCGACAACCTTTTGCATTACGCCACGGTTAATTACGACTCCAGTATTATAATATGGCATCTTGCTACTGAAATCTGGTACAACAAAGAGAAATGCTCAGCCATAAATGACAAAAGGGAATTCAGCAAGATTCTCTCCAACTGCATGTTTTATCTTTTAGTTAGTCAGCCTAATGTGGTGTCCGCTGTGGTAGGCACTGCCCAATTGATATCAAGGGAGATGTTGTACGAGCTACAAAATTACATCCTTGATGCGTCCAGGGGTGTAGAGGGGCTATGCGAGCAATTGGGCGAGTTTGCTTCCGCCGTAAGGGAGACGTTGCTCCACGAGGGGATCGATTCGGCCCCAGAGATGAAAAGGCCCGAAACAAAGAAGGAAAAGCCCAAAATAGAGGTTGCTCCTCGAGGTAATCAATTTGGCTCGAGAGATGGAAAGTCTCGAGGAAAAGAAGTGGAAGGTGATGAGCGGAGTGTGGGTTGAGATACTTTCATATGCAGCGAGTCATATTAAGGGAGAGGCACATGTGCAGGTGCTGAGCAAAGGTGGAGAGCTTCTTACCTTTGTTTGGCTGTTGATGGCTCATTTCGGTTGTTTCTACAAACCTGGATGGGGCATCTATTATGATAGCAGGTTCTACATGTATCGACCAGCTAATAAGGGTAATCGCTTCCTAGCCTAGATTTGAGAACCAACCCTATGACTCCCAGTTTCAATTTTTTGAAACCGGGAACTAAACCGAGTTGTTTTGGAACCTCCAGTTCTTGAACCAACCAGTTCTGATCTAGTTCCTAGTTCCAATTTTTGTGTTGTCCAAAAAAATGAAATTTTTATAATAAAATAAAAATATTGCACCATTTTAGTGCAAAACATATGTTGGTCAAGTGGTTATATTGTTATTTGTTCATGTTGAAGACCATTATTCAATTCTCCATATTTGTAAACGGTTCTTTTGAAGACCGGTTCAACCTAGGAACTAGTTCCCGAGTAGACCGGCAATTCTTGCCTTGGAACCGGGATTGACCTGCTCTAGGTTCCTACAATCGGCCTTGAACCGGCCGGTTTGGTTGGGTTTTTGGATTGAACCGGATCTGGTGCTCACTCGTACTACCTAGGTAAATCAATAATTTTCCAAATCGCAAGCCTTCATTAGCAAATTTATAATTCGATCCGACACTATCAATTCAATTCATTCATATTTCTTGTACGTTTACATATGAAATGATGTATATTTTTGCTGTATTTTGCCATGGAAAAAATATATTTTTTGATAGCTATAGAATAATCAATACAAGATTTAGTACTTCATGCAATTTTGTTTATGTTTTACGTTACATGCAATCCCCGTGCTGATAAAAATATGGATGGCCTATCAGAATGCAAAGGATATTTACGTTGCATTATCGCCACCAAAAGCTAGTCGAGTCCCCTCCAAGTGATGAGTATCAAAGTCGGCTTTTCGATCATCAGCAACTCTTTTCGCCCTGAAGACCCCCTTTATCCATCTGATCCAACGCTCAGCCACAAGAGGGTATGATTTCCCATCGTAAGCGGGTGGATTCGCCTTTCTAAATTGGGCAAAGGTGCGTTGTTTTTCTTTTCCACTTAATTCCTTCACTTGACGACGTAAATCGATAACTACTTTACAAACTCTAGCTAAATCAATTTGGTGATAGGTTTGTGGGACTTATCCTTTGCTTCTTGTGACTCAGGACCTAAATCATGGTAATCCTCCTCTCCTTGTCGAACCCGCACCTAGAGATATTTGAGTCACATCTCTGGTGTCGGAGGTAATGAATCGCTTACGACTATTGTTTTTACATAGTAAAGCAAGCGTCTTTGAGTTAAGACTCATGATTACCTGGACCCGCAATATGCACTTGAGGACCTAACAAAAGATTAATGTCATAAAAAACTAACACAACCTCACAACATCCGATAAAATATAAATACAAAATCGTCGTAACTTGAGCTCTGATACTAACAAATATCACACCCCACCTCTACAAGTAGAGGGAAAATGACATGGTCATTCATCTACCCGAAGGACGTAGTGTCAAATACGCCATCAACATTAATCTGTTATAAAAAAATATAACCAACTATATGTCTGATAAAACAAGAAGCGGGTTACATATTCAAAGTTCAAAATTTCAATAAAAGGAATTCATACATTTCCAATAGATAACAAACTAAACACAACAGATATCATTTCAAACATATATACAACTATCTCAACAAATATTCAAAATCCAAATCTCAAAAACTCCCCACCGATAAAGCTCTCGTCCTATCTATCCAAGTGGAAGAACCTGAAAAAGAAATGTGATGAATGATATGAGCATAACACTACTTAGTGAGTAGTAATATCTGAACAGTTCAAGTATTCATTATGCATATTTATAAAACAATACCATAAACACATTTATTCGAATCTAGTGGATAATATATGTACAAAATAAAAGCAAAGCTTCATACGTATCAAAAACACTCGTTCAATCAAGAATTAACATCAATGGTCTAGTTTCAAAGGCGTGCATGTTTGTTTGAATTAAAGGAAAAGTAAAAACCCAAGATTTAAAATAGGCATAGGTGCACTAGAAGTCATGAAACTTGTCACGAAAGTGCAATTGAATCCTAAAATTTTTAAAAAGTGCAATCAAATCCCTCCATCCATTGTGGAAAATGATGACGTGTTTTTATTTATTACTTTCTTAATACACGTAATGTCGGTGTGTTACCCACCAAGCTCCACAACAGAAAAAATTAAAAAATAAAAATAGGATAAAACAGATAAAAAAAGAAAAAAAAGGATAAAATAAAAAAATGATAAGAATTAAAAATATAAAAAGCTAATAATTTAAAAAGAAGCCCATCAATAATACTGGATGATAAAGTGGACTGGATTTGCACAATGGTTCTTTCCCTCATCGATTACTGAGGATCAGACTGCTTTGATCATCTTTTGCGCATTTTTCGCTTGCTCTCTAAAATGGTTGGGCTGTCTGTATATTACCATCCTTATATTTTGAATAGAGGACATCATCATCTTCATACCTTTTTCGGCGCTATTGGGTTTGCCTTTCTTGCCGGAATTTCTGTCCCCAGACTCCATCAATTCCATCTCTAAAGTAACAGATGTCCGTTTCCGTCAATTTACACGTTTTTTTGTTGTGGCAGTTCATCCTCTAAAGTAACAGATGTCCGATAACGCAGATGATCAGATAGAGGCGGGGAAGATATTTGAGGCTAGAGGTGCTATATTTCTCGGTAGTATACTGAAGGGGATTGATTGCAGCAATCTTTTGGCGTATGTCACTAAGGCTAATTACCACTCTAGTGTTGTAATGTGACATATTGCTACTGAAATGTGATACAACAGAAAGGAACAGTAAATGAGCCCACAGCAAGAGATGAAAGGGAATTCAGCAAGATCTTCTCTCACTACATATTTTATCTTTTAGTTACTCAGCATAATGTGGTGTCTGCTGTGGCGGGCTTTGTCCAAGTAATATCAGGGAATATATATACTGCTCGAGTTACAGAACTACCTCCGCGTTGGCTGCAATGGTGTGAATGTTGGCTCCAACGATGTGAAGGGGCTATGCATAAGATTGTTTCAGGGCCACGTCAAACCCATCACTTCGAGGACGCTCGCCGAGGGGGTTAATTTGGCCCAAGGGATGGAAGGGCTCAAGGACATGAAGTGGAAGGTGATGAGCTGAGTGTAGGTTGAGATGCTATCGTATGCAGCAATTCAAAATAAGGGAAAAGCACATGTGCAGATACTGAGCAAAGGTGGCAAGCTTTTTCCCTTTGTTTGGCTGTTGATGACTCATTTCGGTTATTTCTACAAATCTGATTTGGGGACGTCTTATGAAGTCTGGGATTAGATATTTCATACGCATCGGCTGTCTTGTTTCCACAAACCTATTTTCCTTGGTTTGTGTATCTATTTGTCTATCTTTGTCACTGATGCTGCTACGTGATGGATTTTCATCCCTCATGGTAAGCCCTGCATGTATACTTTGTACTGCAGTTTATACTGATAATAATATAAAATGAATCTAATAAATTGGGTTTTCTTAAGGGGAAATGGCACAACGTAAATTTACATGGACTACTAATTTTCTCATAGACAGTATGTAAATTAAAAACTATCAAGATTTTGTATTCACATTTAAAGGCGCGGACGTTAAAGCATCCTATTATCAATGAGCAATTTGGACCGACTATTACACCAAGTTATTCTCGTAAAGGGCCAATTAATTAGCTATTCTTCCTATATTTTTTTTTACAAAACAATGAGTAATTGCTTTGTAGGAAATAGATTTGAAATGGAATAGCTATTTATTACAAACCAAAGGTTCACTTTTCATGCAAGGACATACATTTTCAGGTAATGGAATTTCACTCGATTAATTAAATAATCTAGTCTGATTCTCCCTGGTTGCGAGTGCAAAATATGACTTCATATATCGTGAGCTTAGAGTCGCCTTCTTCATAAACAGGACATCATTAAGCCAATTGACAATACACAAACAGAGAGTCAGATAAGTATGATGACATGCTAAATTGGGAAGAGCTAGGGCATTACCGGTGCTCGTCAAGAAATTTACAAACCAATTTCACGAGATGCAGGATTATCAGTAAGAATATGTTCACTTTCCCCCAGTTCTACAGCCACATTAACCCACAATCAAGAATGTACCCATCAAAAGTTATGACCACATAACTCCACAACGCCACATTGCACAGCACAATCAACGCTAAGCCCCATCCACCAGAGTCCGCTTTGAAGTGCTGATGTACAGAACTGCAATAAGTCATACCAATTAGGCACATTCCAAGTCAGCAAAGAAATGATTTAAGAAGCAGGATTCTGAATACATCATTACCATTATTTCCTCGAATAAAGGCATCTCCATACTTGTTCTTCAGCTGCCGATTGATGTATTCTTCCGTCTGTTCCATTGCTATGTTCATATATCCATCCAGGCAGGCCAGAATACCTGCATAAAACTCCAACCCATCAGAACATCTGAGAATACCACACAACTTCAGACAACACAAGATTGTGGTTCTAAACTAATCATAAGCATAGCCTCCATATAGCTTGGGATAAAGAACATGTTTATCAGGACCATTGCAGATCAAATAGTTCATTATCATCCAACTCACCTCTCCTCCAGGTCTCACGCCACAAGAACTAAGATTTGGAAAATTACTAGAAGTTGACACGAAAAGGGTTGGTCATAGGCACATAACCCACAAACATCAGCTTTTTCTCTATTAGGATTTACTACAAATAGTAAATTGAAAAAGTTCAATTGAGAAGCCCACATAAAGGGTATTTACCTACAATCCTCTCATTTTCATGATAAGGCCATCGGAATGGATTTAATAGCTTTCAAGAAACCAAATCTTAATTCCATATAAGTTCACGAATTTATCATCAAACACCCTGCTTCTCCCCTTCTCTTGCTCTGCGCTTATTCTCCTTCCCTCTCTCTCAAAACCCAAAAGAAAATCCATGAAGTTTGAAAGCCAGTTTTGTTTGTATATTCTCATGCCATTGCAGAAGGGTTTTCGGTATCCTGTAATTGAATAGCAGCATGTATGTGCAGGATTCTTGTTTCTACGGTTTTCCAAACAAATATGAATATCAAGTGTGGTCATCATTTGATTTGCCAGATATCCATAACAATAGCTGATTTCATGAACAAAACAGTTTCCTTACGCTAGCTTTCCCATCTAGCCATTGTTGATAGATGAGAAGACGAGTTTAACATCAGAGCCCCAATTTTACTATTGATCTCTTTTTAACAGTGAATACCATGGACATTGTTAGAGAAAGAGACGGTTATTATATTTAAAAGACTAGATGTAGCTTCCTTCCTGACGATGGAAAAGAAAATGCTTAGTGACTTACATCGAGACCACAATGTACATGGCAAGACCAACTTAACTGCCCATTCTTTGCAGCATGATGTAGGGTCACAAATGCCTTTGACAGTTTATGACAAAAGCAATATTCTTCTTCATTTACTTCAGTTTGATAGGTAAGGTTCATTTGGTTTACAATTCCGGTTGACTTAAGATTCTGCTTGAAGTTTGAGGTGAGCAAGTCGCCGCTTCGCTCATACGAGTTGCCAAGAACTCAACCCATAGATCATCCCTGACTAATTAAAGTTTGAGACGAGTAGTTGAAGGCACATAGGATTTAGTACAATCGGTAAATACGAGGACCAAAACAATCTCAAACTCCACACTATCGAGCTAGATTGGGAGAATTTTTTGTTGGAAGAATTCTCCTGACACACAGAGACCATGTTGAGAGAAGTACCTCGGTAATCGACACCAGAATTCAGTTTGACGACGACCGGCCTCCCCCGGATAGATTTCAGGAAATCCGCGGGGGTCTTCGTGGTGGCCGACCCTTTCTCTCCTCCTCCTCCGCTCATCCTCCTAATCCTCAACCGGTGCTTCCGCTATCCGAAACGGGAAGATTGATAATCGTAATTCAACCCAGTGGAAAGGAAACCAAAAATTGCCAACTAATTTACACAAACAAAAAGGCTCACGAGCAGACAAATCTATATTGCAAATCCCTTGTTCACCTCCACCTATAACCCCCGAAACATCAAACCGCAGACGACCCTCCTGTGCTCATCTCCTCCCTCGTTTTACAGCAACTTGAAGATACTTATAGAATGAACGATGCGCTAAAAAAAAATGCAGTGATTCAAGTGAACTTGCAGAGGGGAAACCAACACCAATCCACTAAAAGAACGAAAAGAAACAAACCCAAGACGGAGTGATGACTCACCGCGTGCTACTGCTCAGTACCAACATGATACGTGGAGGAGCAACATCGGAGAATTAGAAGGAAAAAAGGAGAAAAGTAGCGAGAAATTTCGAAGAGTAAGAGCTCAAGCCGAACTCTCTTCACCAGGGTTGCTCGTTCGATGCTCGGTGGAAGGGCGAGCCTTCAGTGCTAGTGCTCAAGCCAAGCATTAGCACTAGAGTGTCAAAATTGTGAATGATGGGGCTTTCAAGGGCTAAGATTTTGAAGGAGTAACTAGAGACATAACACCCACTAAATTATGTTTAGTAATTTCGTAATTTGTCAGAAAAGAAAATGCCTTTAACTGGACTTTGTTTCGCAAAAAAAAAAATTTGAAAAGCGTCTTCCTAAAAGTATTATTTAGAAAAGTTAATCAAGAGAAAGTGCCTTCACTCTCAATTATAACACATGTCAAAATTATTTCATATATAACGAAAGTAATTTTTATTTATTTATTCACTTTTATAAGGGCCACGAACAAATTTTTTTCGCATGAATATTCTCTATGTTTTTTTTATTTGTTGCTCGCTGAATATTCTCAGGAAAAGTGCCAAAAAAGTCTTAAATATTTTGTATTGGTACCAATTTAATCATAAATCTTTTTTTGTGTCAATTTAATCCTAAACCTTTTACATTAGTGTCAATTTAGTCCTAAACCTTTTGCCTTTGTGCCAATTTAGCCCTTATGGCCGGATTTTGCTGACGTGGATGCCAACCAGCTGACGGCTGGTCACCGGCGCTAATGTGGACAATTTTAATAATATTTTTAATATTTTTTTGAATTTTTATTTTATTTTTTATTTTTTTTCATTTCTTTTTTTTTTTCCCCTCCCCTCCCCTCCCCTCCTTCCTCCAGCCGGTCGCCGGACCGGCAACCGACCAGAGGCTAGAGGCCGACGCCGGTGAGGCTCGCCCTCGCGCTGGGCGAGGCCCGACCTCACTAGATCCGCTGAGGTCGTGCCTCGCCCAGTCGCCGGCGAGGCTCGACCTTGCCATGGCTGGGCGAGGCCTAACCTCACCGGATTTGGCGAGGTTGAGCCTCACCAGCAGCTGGGCGACGCCCGACCTTGCCAGGCTCGCCTTCGCCAATGCTGACGAAGGCGAGCCTCGCCGGCGGCTGGGTGAGGCCGCCCTCCCCAGATCCGGCGAGGGCGGCATCGCCAGTGGCCCGCGTGGGCGAGCCTTGCCGGCGCCGGGCTCTGGCCAATCGCCGGAGGGAGGAGAGGGAAAAAAAAAAGAAATAAAAGAAATAAAAATTCAATAAAATATTAAAATATTATTAAAGTTGTCCACGTCAATAAAATCCGACCAATTTGAATTGGCACAAAGACAAAAGGTTTAGGACTGAATTGGCACCAATGCAAAAGGTTTAGGATTAAATTGGCACAAAAAAAAAGGTTTAGAACTAAATTGGCACCAATGCAAAAGGTTTAGAATTGAATTGGCGCAAAAAAAAAGGTTTAGGACTAAATTGGTATAAATGCAAAAGGTTTAGAACTTTTTTAGCACTTTTCCCGAATATTCTCTAAAAAAATGGGTGAGGGTGGGGGCCCATATTTTGGTTTGTGTGCAGCTCGCGGGCCCCACTTTATTCTATATACGTATTGGTGGTATACTGATCCGTATCGATTTCCCCTTCTCTAAGTTTGCTTGAAACTCAATATCGTGGGATGTATCATTCATTCTAAGGGCCCTCTTTGTTTAAGAGTTATAAAAAAAAACAATCAAAGACTATTTTCCAGTCAGAATATGAAATATTATTTAGATTCCAAAAATATATATAATAATATTTTTATTTTTAAAAAGGTTCAGATGTTTCGAATTGGAAAAAGAAGTTAAATGCGTCGAATTGTTATAGAAGATGGGGATGAGGGGATGTTGGTTTTGATCTTTGATGACAAGTTAGGGAACTCATATGGAATTGAGATTTGCTTACTTGAGAGCCATTTAATCCTTCTGGTGAGCTTCGCGCCACCATTTTCCCACTCAATCTATAATTTGCAGAGAAATCCAGAAAGAGAAGCTGGTGTCGGTGGGTGTGCAGTTTGATCCTATATGACCGTACTTTTTCAGGTCGATTTTGTGAACCTTAGGGCTCGTGGCATGAGACCATCACCTGTTCTGTGAAATCCCTGGAGGAGGTGCTGATGCGTTTCGGATATTTCTTTTTCTTATGGGCCAACCTGCGGTGTATGGCATCATTGCACGGAGGGAGGTGATCTATATAGTCTTTTAAAAGACGAAGGCTTTCATGATAGGTTTAAAGAAAACCCAAACAACATGGGAATCATTTTGCATGTCTGATCTACTCATGGCATGATAGTAGGTTAATGAATGCTAGGTGCTTATGGATCATAATGTGCAACTCATGCGAATGTCATTACTACAATTACTTGGAGTTCGAATTGAGGATTATGAACTTGAAATAGTACAATCGTATTCACAGTGACATCTACTACTTGCAGTAAATGTTTTTGTTCTGCAGATAGCATGAGATACATAAGTAGCGGAACTAGTTATAACTTTGCAGATCTTTGGCTACTATGTTATTTGTATTGCAATGGACCTTGGTTCATGACAGATCTTTAGCTCCTGCTGCTGTCTTAGTAGTAAGACCTCCCACATAGATGGGGCAGGTCTCATCGGTTCTAGATCCATTTGAGGTTTCACTACTGATGTCTTCTATGTTATCATTTTCTCCCCTGATTTAGCTTCTCCCATAAAACCACCTTGAAAAATTTTCTCGAGATTGTTCTCAATTTTATGCTTGTGTTTCCTTCTTCAGATGCCTCAGAATTAAGAGATGCTTCAGCTCTATCTGAACTTCTTTTTACAATAGCATCAACATTTTGCTCTTGGCCTCTTCCAAGTCCTTCATAGCAAAGAATCATTGAATGTCTACATTCTTATCTTTTTGGTTACGTTATTCTTCTCATCAATTTCCTCTGGTTGCTATTGAACAAGGTTGTGATTTCACCTTTATCAACACGACAACCAGATTGATTCCTGGGAGATCTATCATTACTCCTCTCTTGCGAAAATAACTATGCATCATTCTCATACTGGTGGATTTGTTACTTTCATGATAAACTTGACTGTCGAGAATTTTTTGCATTGTGGTCCTATGACTACCGTTGTTGCAGAGGAAACAAGAGAGGCTGAGGAAGATGGAAGAGAGACATATACTTGCAACTTTACGAGGCCATGGAAGCCCTCCTTCACATATGCAGAGATGGTTGCCGGACGATTGGACCACACGACAAACTCCTCATAGTATCGCAGCCTGCCTGTGGATTCCCTGCTTGTAAAGGACTTGAGACCTTAGTATGCCATTTTTCGAGTTGCAAGGTCCACGTTCCTGGAGGATGTGTTCACTGCAAGCGCATGTGGCAGCTTCTTGAACTGCACTCTCGGATGTGTACTGAGCCTGATGATTGCAAGGTTCCTCTCTGTAGGTAAGTCAAAGAACTTCTATGTTTGTCACCTCAATTTTAACCTGGAGAAGTCTTAGATGGATGCAGGACGTGTCCAAATGTGACTGCCCATGATGTATGGGTTGTTTTTCATTCACGTAATTTCTCTCTCTCTCTCTCTCTCTCTCTCTCTCTCTCTCTCTCTCTCTCTCTCTCTCTCTCTCTCTCTCTCTCTCTCTCTCTCTCTCTTACTCTACCTTTTTGTTGAGGTGGGAGTTGAATTCCACACTTGAAACTAAACGTCCGCACCCCACCAACACTTGAAACTAACTGACTTTTACTCAGCCTCTTTGTAGAGGTGGGAATCGAACCCCACACTTGAAACTAAACGTCCCACCCCACCTCACCTTACCAAATTCCCTTACCATGGCCCAATGGGTTCATTCACCTAATTAATTAGGTCCTAAATAGCATTGAATATTGAGCAAAACTCGCTTCAGATGATTAAGTGAGAATTGCATTGCTGACTCATAAGTTTGCATTTCAAGTGTCTTGCACGGAAAAAAGTCCAACACTGATTTAAAGAAACTGGTTGATGAGTCAAAACTTTTAAAGGCAAGAGTGTTTTTCTGCCCAAATGATTCTTCAATGATTTAAAATTAAGTGATTATGCGAGATGCATATGGGGGCTGAATCATCTTATTGGGGTGTAGAATTGAAGAGCAGTACCTCCGTTGAACTGATTTGTATTTGTGAAATTGATGGCTCTACATTGCGTCTCTTTTGCTTTTGCCAGGCAATTTAGGGTGAAGATTCGGCACCAAAGCAAGAAAGATGATTTCAAGTGGAAAACGTTGGTCAACAAAGTGATTGCAGCTAAGAATGCATTGGGACCATTCTCCGCTCGGTGCTCTGGTTTATTGTGATACCTTTGTATCTTAAGAAGCCATGCTTGTCCACAAGTTTGATTCATCCCAATTCAAAAAGCATAAAAGTATTGCTGGGAACTTATAGTTTCTTTTTTATACTATATGTCTTTACTGTGACCTGTACATTAGTTAGCTGGATAGTGTAAATACATTACTTAACATTTGACTTTTAGCTTCTTCTTCTTTTTAATCAGGTTGCTTCGCTCCATCAATCACAACGCTTTATCTTTTGCAATTGTATCTTGAGTGCAACTAGTATTAGCAGAATTCTCGCCTAGATTGGGTCCGTAAACCCAATGAGATCAGAGGGATTGGATTTGGATCGGACCCGCATAATCAAAAGCGTTCTCTCAGGCTAGACAAGAAATTTGCTTCCGATTGTGCATAATCTCCATTAGATTTTAATGAGTCACGCTCTGTTAAATCAACTCTAATGGTGAAAAACACAACTCAAAAATTTGAAAGGCATAAATTATTGTCAGCTATGTAGCACCGACACGTTGGCCATTCCAATGTGTCGGTGTCCAACACCGACGGGTCCGACACGCAGTTAAACAGGCGTTGGATTTCCGATACGCGGTCAACGCGCCAAACACACCTCCGACACGCGAATCCGGAATCCTGACACGCGATTCCCACACGCACAGGGTCAATTTTATAAATTTTCAAAAAATTAAGGGTCAAAATATAAATTTATAAAAAAAAAGAGAAAAATAAAGGTGGAAGAAAAAGGGCTAAAACACGCTAGGTTTTTATTTTCTCCGTCTTCTTCACTCGACCGACAACCTCCCCATCTCAAATTCTCTTCTTTCTTCTTTCCGTTGACCACTGGTCCACCGCGAGGCTCTCTCAGTGCCGGTCACCACTCGTTGGTCACCGCTACATCCAGATAGCAAGTACACCTCTCTCGTTTCTGCCAAGTGCCTCGGTCACGGGCTTTGGTTTTTCTATCGTTTGTTTTGATGTCGGATTTGATGGTGTAATGGTAGCTCAATGAGGGAAGAAGTCGTGGTGGGTGGGAAGAAGGAAGAAGTTCCCGGGGGAGAATTGTAGATTTGAATTAAAAATGATAATTTATCATGTATATATAAAAATATATATTTAATATATGTGTCGGAATTCTCTATTTTTTGAGAAAATGACGTGTCACTTGTCGTGTCGTGTGTCGGTGTCGGTGCTACATAGATTATCAGGTATTTATAATAGTCGGTATTGATTAAGAACTTGCCAGCAATCTAAATATACACATTTAAAAAATTATCATCAAATTAATGGAATTTACCAAACTTTTGGATAGTTAATAGAGTTATTTAAATGGTATCTACTAATACATATGTACAATTATCAATGTGACATTAATATCAACCGACCTTTCATACTTTAGAAGTCATAATATATGAGTCGATGAATAACTTATCAGCACAAATCGAAATCAACAAGGTATTGTCCTTACTGTCCTCATGTGAACCTATGAGCATGTCGCGAAACGGTAAACTGTATTATACTAACTTTGCTAGAACATTCACCAACTCTGTTTTAAAGGTGTGCACGTTTGTTCGAATTTAAATAAAACTCAAAAGTACTTTTTTACTTTCCCGTCAAAACTTAAAAGATTACTAAAATTTCGGAAAATTATGAAGAAATAAAGTGCGAGTCTTTAAGCTAACATTTGAGTACTATGAAAGTTTCGAAAGTTTTGGATTTAAAAAAAGTTCGAAGTGCATGAACTGTAAGATTTAAATTAAGCAAAAAAGTAAAAAAAATAAAAGTCATTCCATACTAGCTAGTGATTAATAGAAAGTTATCAGTATAGATTGAGAACTTTTATTAGTTATCCGGGAGAATACACAAATATAAGCATCACTTTACAAAATTGAACAACAAACGATACACAGATTTATAGCATAAATGATGCCACAAACTTTAATTAGCTACTTTAACGAGTGAATCATTTTTAAATATTCAATAAAAATGTACAACCTCTTTTATAACTCGATTTCATATATTTCTAGCATTAATAAAAGAAGAGACACTACCAAATTAGTCCTTGAACTCTTAATCAATGTCCAATGATCTGTAAATTTTAATTTTGGTCAAATTGATATTTGTGTTCTATGAGTCGAATCAATTTGGTTTTTTTATATGATTTTGTTAACAAGGAATTAATCCTTCATAATATTTTATGACTGATCTGATTAAACAACACCAGTCCATTCTTTAGCAAATAATATGGTTTTTGTCAAATAGCATGGATTTCCAGTTTTTCGGCTCAATATACCATTATGAATGCCTGCAAACCACCGTATGTATCTGTATTAATTATATAGAATTGTATAAGACTTCACATCTAGAATGGTGAGCACAATCCTAACATTATTCCAAGTGAGAAACACTAGGATCCGAATATGATTCTATCGTATCTTCACCAAACGTACGTGTACCTATTTAGTCAATTCGTTGGGTATTGCATGATTTTATTAATTCTCGATTTGAATGTTCATATGATATTTTGTAGAACTATCAAAATCTTCGACTATGTTGACCTATCTTGGATTAATGTAAAATCACTAGACATATCAAAGAGAGTAATCCATGTATAGTTATAAATTTGAGCCATATTATTTGTTAGGCTTTTTATGCGCAAAAGAGATGAGGGGAAACTAGCGTGATTACCTCCTTTGACCGTAACTCATAGTTAATTATAAATTCAGTCTCTTAGGTTCTCAGTTTTAAGTTGATTTAAGAGCATTTTATTTTCCTGATATGGGGGATAAACATACTTTTGAAACCTAAATTTTTGCTAGTAGATCTTTATTGCATTGTCCAAAAATTAGGGATCGGATTCGCCGGTAATGGCACAATTCGACCCTTAAATACAAACAATGATTTTACATATCACACTCATGTTTCTAGCTGCATTTCTTCTGCATTTAGAAACTAGAGATATTGTAGTTAGTTAATACATAAGTTTCCATTCACATACGCTATTCATGAATTTAATAAGAATCAGGGATCGAATTCGCATCCCGAAAAAAACAGCGACTTTGCATAATCCTGCATCCATTTTTCTTGCTGTATTTCTTTTGCACTTAGAAACTAGAGGCATTGTAGTCTATAGATGCGTAAGTTTCCCCTCCCATAGAATACTAATGCATTTTATAAGAATTAGGGCTCGAATTTGCCTTGCTCTCGCGACCGTAGTTTAAGGACGAGGTACGGAAGCTTGCCTCGCTCTCATGGGCATTGCAAGCTCGTCACCTCGATCTATCGGTCCATTAGCTCGGCTCTGGTGTGTGTTTGTATAATTCCATCTTTGACGTTAATTATGTGTGTCTTTTTTTTTTCGCATTTTGTTTACTTGTTCTTCATTCTCTTATTATTTGGGTTCGGTTCGCTTTAGGGGCTTCTCGGTTCAGACTTGGGCTTGCTGAACCGTCGCTTGTATGGCATGTTTTATGGCTCTCGAGTGTTCATTTGACGTGTCCCGGGTTGGCTTCCGTCGACCCCGAGGGCCCGTAGGCGTGTCGGGATGTTTGCGTGTTTGTTTGGGGCCGTCTTGTGGGTGAGTAGACGTCCTAAACTTGCTGTCTAGACCGCCTAAGGGGCTGAACGACTAGCTTAGAGCTTCTATCCGGCCTTGCTAAGGGTCTTGAACGGGCTCGAGGCGTCCTCTTTACATGTTTACATCATTTACACGTCATAATCATATATTCGGATCGTATCATAGTTTAATTCCTAGCTTCGTATGTAGTTTATTATTTCTTAACATGCATTTAGTATAGTTTAGACTTTAAAACATGTTTATCGTGGATGGAAATAAAAAATACGAAAAAAATAAATAAAAATGGATGAAAAATCGGAGTGGCATTTGGCTAGGAATGGCATTTCTAGGGCTAAGTTTGACTTATGCTCGGTTGTCTTTCATTTTGTTTAATGCGACACCGTGGTCACCTAGCTTAGAAAATTTACATTCCTTAAACCAGGTTGATTGCATATTTAATTTTATGCATTAGCTGAAAAGATTCTTGTCCCGAGGCTTAATTAGCAAGGAGTTGTTCTATTTTTATTGATATGATTCGGGTTCTACTTACTGTACTATATTTGTGATTATATCATCGTAACTTGTTTGATTATCGCTTTGTTTAATTTTCGTCGTATGAGTTCTCCTTGCATGGTAACTTAGGTTTACGTGTTTTAAAAAATATATAAAATTGAATAAAAATGGCACAAAACGTTTTCCCGGTAGAAAGAGAAAAGGTACTAATCTTGAGCGTCAGACAATTTCTAGTGTAATCAAATCCCTATGTCCGAATCTCTGATTCACAGAAATAAAACGGACTCTCGCATTTTGCTCGGCCTCTAATTGGCCCATAATAGGTTAGTGGTGGCTTCTAAAGAAAAACAAAATGTCATAACTAAAATGAGAAAATCAAGTTGCAATCAAAAGCGAATGATAAGCACAAGTGCCACCCTACAAAAAAGGGTTATTTGCGCCTGCTCGGCAATCTGTCAAACTCCTTTAGGGTTCGCCTCGGAGGGTCGCGATACCTACTTATCCTATGAGGCACACTCATATAACTTGTTAGATAATATCTTATTCATCAATAATATAAGTGTCTTGTTAGATGTGGTATCACCAAACATTTCACTGAACTAATTATGGATATTGAAGTTTGATAGTTTGAAACTCTGATAGCTACATATAGATGTGCAACTAGCATTGAGATAAGACCGAATCGACGATAAAACATCAATCTCACATGAAGCAAAAAGCATCATTCACGCATAAGATATTTTTCTTCTATCATTTAATGCTTGAGATACCTGTAAATAAGTAATAATCAATAAGCAATAATCTTTAACGGAAATTTTCAAGTTTTTTAAACAATAAATCTACATATAAAGAGGGAAAAAGGTAAAAAAGAAAAAGAACAAGAATATTTTGCCCTACATGGACAAAAGGTAAAAGGGTGATGAAAGAGAAGAAAAGGAATATTTTGTACTTTATATAGACAAAGCTTATTGAGCCCATGCAATCTTAACTGACAAATTTTATATTTCTATAAATTTAAATTTTATGACATTAAATCCTGTGTAGTAAAAAAGGAAAGAAAGTAGGGAACAACTTCAAGTCGAAAAAATCAAAAATCGAGAAATAGAAAGAAAGATAAAGTGAGATTCCTGATTTGT